TTTACAGTCCAAATGTTTTCAGAAGAGCAAGTTTTACTCTTGTTTTTACCTCAGAAGGCTGATCCTTTTCATGATTTAGGAGTAGTTGAGGGCACAAAAGCCTACAGATGATAACTCTTGTCCTCATGTGAAAGGTCGGGAATGTCAAACGGGGATTTCCTTGCTATTATCTCTATCCTCTCTCTGCTTTGACCTATCCCTTAAGAAAAAAGGATTGACTTGTCTTCTGAAAGAAAGAGGATGCAATGAAATGCGAAGGCCTTGTGGGAAAAATGCTATCAGCGAAAGTCTAGCTCTGATCCAGTTAGGATTGGAGATGGGAGATTATGAAGGTAATGTTGTTGAAGGAGGATGAAAGGAAGCGTAGGTTGAGGAAGAGGGCCATGATGTTTCAAGGAACCTCTTCTTGATAGCTGTGAACATATTAAATCTCAGAATCAAAATTTTCATTGGCATGGCCAAGTTCGAGTGGATAGGAGTAGCACGCATTGAACTCGCCTGTATAATGCATACTTCGTCCATTTCTGACATTTCTGTTTTTTGCAAAGGCATGGGTCTTCGATGAGAAATTCATGTCCCTCATTCTGGCATGAAAGGAAAAGCTGTCGGAAATGATGTCAAGTAGTTGACGACCTGAGAAGCCCACAACTCCTACAGCGTGGTCCTCACAAATGTAACCTTTAGTCTTTTTCTCATATCTCGTCCTGTTTTAAGCGACTAGATTTCATTATTCGTAGATTAATAATGGAATGTTTATGAAGTTCTATCTGATTTGAGGGATTACAGCTGTAAACGGAGTGCGGTTTTCAAGCTATTTTACAACTCCCTCTTCTTTCGAATCAACTATGTAAAGTTTTCCTTAATTAGGAAGAAACAGTAAAAAATGTACTATTCGCTAGGTCATTTGAGCAAATAAACTATAGTCTTCATTGACAACTGAATTGGTGCTAATGACGAGGTTTATTATATGTTATTTTTTATTTACAATATACGTTTGTTCCACTTCTGGTAAGTCGCACAGAATTGCATAAAATTACTCTTTAATGTAGAAAAACTGAAATGCGTAAGATATCGTTTTCCTTTCCACATTCTCATCGCCCCCACATCGTGACACGTGCGATTCGAGTACTGCTACAGAAATATTCATGCATATCTAGCTATTTTTTTCATTTTCAACAATTATTAGAAAAGCAAATTATGATAGCTGTCTCATCACTAGAACATGTTTCTCAATTTGAATCTGCATGGGCCATTGCTTCAATTATAGGGTGTCCTGGAAAAAGTTTCAATTTAAAAGGTAAAGTGTCTCTTTAATTCTACAGATAGATGCATAAAAAGCATGACACATTGATTGAAATGGACAACATTTTAATTCCGTGCACAGGTTGTTGATTCCATTCATAAAACACATGTTCAAAACGACCCCAAGACAGAGAAAACATTATTGAATGCTACAGAACAACTGAAGTTACTAAATGCATTTGTAACCTGTCTGGGTTGCATCAATACTCTCCAGATCCTTCGCGCACACATCGATTAGACTTTCCAATGGCCACCAATATCCCCTCTCGTCCCTGAATTTTTACTTCTAGTGTTGCCTGAAGGATGAAGTGCTTAGGTGCCTAGGTGCTAAGTGTTTAGGACGAACCCACGGATCAAAGATGATGTGAAATGTCCCATTAGGAAGAAAATTTAAGGCAAGGGCAGACAACCAAGTGCAGGGAGCAAGTTTGAATTGTGCTAGGTGCATTTGTGACTGTATTCTCCTTGAATGGGAGAATTTTCGAGCATGTTGTTCATTTATGCAAACATAAACTACATGGAATAACAATTTGTTTCATTTCAATCAATAATCTGCTTGTAGAATTAAAGAAACAGTGAACTTTTTACATGGTAAAGTTTTTTCTTCAGAACACCTTCCATAACATAATTATTCTGCTCTGACGATGTTCTTGTGTGATATGCAAATAGCTACGGAAGATTTTAATGGTGATGTTGAGAATTGGAATAAATTTGATTTTTCTCAGCAGATGAGCGAAGAACCACGATCATGGGACAGAATCCGAGCAAATCGCTTGAACATAATTGACAAGCATGTGGACTGCGATGAGTTGGTTCGACAATTGAGTTGCAGAGGCGTGTTTACAGTCCGCGAGGAGAAACAGATCCTAAAAATAATAAATCCTACTGAGCGGAATGATGAATTCTTCTTCATCCTTTATTCCAAAAACCCACAAACAGCAGTTAATGTCTTCTTTGAGGCGCTCATTGCCATGGAAAGGCAGGACGTCGTGGACTTCCTGCAAGGTATGATGAATTGACTATTTCAAGTTTCATATCGTGTGTCTCTTCTGGAACTTCTTGAATGGAAATGGAATAATCTGGAATAGTTTTCACCCTCATCTCTAGAGACGGCTCTGTAGAAATACGATCAGTCGAGGTTTACGTATATTACATACGAGGTATGACGAGAAAGGAGACAATAAGGTTGAAAGCGAATTCTTAGCTCCATTCCCTGCAGGGTGAACTGGAGAGAAATTGAAAACCCAATATTAACGCTGTAACTACCGTCCTGGATCCTGGAACCTTCTCAGACAATACACTGATATCATTCAATACTCTTCTGCTGTACTCTGTGTACTCCCAGGGAGATATCATTAAGTGAATCATTTTCCTGTAACAAATAGTGTACTCTGTAAGCACGTACAAGGACTTTTCCAGAACAGGAACGTGGTATTTGCTGCGTACTTTTGATTTTTTCTAGAAAGGGTGGTCTACATGAATGCAATAATCCTATTTCTTCCCATAAACGTTAATGTTTGCTTATCGAAATTGTGTGCATCCACGCTGACACTTTTTACACGTGGTACATTTTACAACTTGCACTACAAAATTTGGTTTCAAAACCGAATTGGGGAAAGTGAACCAGTATGAATCGAGGCTCTTCATCCTCGAATTCGATCTGGTCACCATCATATATGATGCTATTCCTCATCATAGAATTTAACGAGTCTGGGTAGCTAAGAGGTGCCTCCATTGAGAGGCGTTCAGATAAAAGCAACCCAAGTAACGCAAATGTAGTAGGCCGTTAGCTGTCCGGGCACTACACTACGCTACACTTCTAGACTTCTAAGTCTCTTCGATGGCGCGCAACTCGAAGCCAGCCGTGTGGCATGGGGCTGCGTTCTGCCTCAACGCAGCCTTTTCTTGGTCTGAGCGGATCTCACGTATATTCATGCCGCCCATGTGTATAGGCAGAATGTTTTCACACTGTTTGACATAGGATTCAGCCCTATTTTTGGGGGGTGGGTCAGAAACTTTCGGAACATCTTGTATATGATGTGTCCTGATACTCCCAGACTTTTGCTCTGTCCCTCAGAGTTCCACATTGGAGCGGAACCGGAGAGCAGTGAGTCGTCTTGATACTCTTGAGTACGCTTCTAAATCGGTAGCCTATATGGAGGCATTAGGACCCTTCATAGCTGGTGGTACACCACAAACGAGCTAACTGGTAATGTGCTAGCCCTCTATCGGCCCGGAAGGTGACGAGCCAGTGCTGGCAAGTGGGACATGTACCTGGTGGCCCACAACCTATTGTAGTTGATAGGCCATCAGCTTTCTTCCCCAAATGTAAGTGGTGGCCCACCACCTACGTTCTACTTGGGAAAGCAACAAATCCAAATTTATTTTAAAACTCACTTTCATTATTAACTTCATGTAATGGTACAAATTGTTTCCTCCATATTGATTGAGTCTCCTAATTACAAATTTTCAATCTCTCTTCCCTTGTGACAATATGCGAGTCCTTGGTGAAAAATCGAAGCAATGCCTGCAAGGCAGACTGTGGTTCTGATATATTCTTCCAATAGTGATTAGTGCATTCATCATAATTTTCCTGATAAGCGCTATGGCGAATAAAATGAATCCAACGGGATTTTCTGTTGTATTGTATGATTATAGTATTCCTAGGAATACTCTCTTTTGGGAAAATACTTACCCGAACAGCCCCTTTCTATTGTGTCACAAAATCAAACTCTTTTCTTACAGGTACGGAAGGACAGCAGCAACAGGACGTCACTGAGTAAGGATTTTCCCTCCCAAATGTAAAACAAAAAAAAAACGATGAGGAAAGATGATTGGAATCTGATAGAAACTGTTAAAGCAACCATTCCGTATCTTCATGAAGTGTCACCTGGTGTCTTGCAACGAGATCGAATGGAAAAATAATATAATTTAAGTTGGGTTTATATGTGAGATACTTCAAAGTTGCCCGAACGCAACTGTTGTTTCCTCTTCGTGAACGACTTAGAAAGTGAATCACCACAGTGATTCATGTAGATCCTTTCATACAGCGAAACAGATTCCATTTAATAAGGCAGATATTCTCAACCAACATGATTCGTAGTATGCTAGCATAAACTTGTGCACCGAATTTCATCAAGATCACTGAACTCCCTCTTAGTCGTGCTTCTTTCAGCGATGAATATGCAGGGTGGCTCAAGAAAATATGGATCTCTGTCTTTCAGAATTTGTATTATTTATTTTTTAATATAGATAAGCGAAATTTATTGCATACAAAATGAAATCAATTATCGGCTTCCAATTAAAATTTGGCTAATTAGTATTTGTACTGTGGATTTTGGAGTAATTACATTTTTCCGAAGGACAATCAGAATTTTCTCTTTTCGAAAAGCACAACGTATACTGTTCTCAATGCGTCATGGCAGCTGAGCGTCAATTCTTTTTCTGGCGATGTGGCGTCATCTACTTCAAGTATCACTTTAAAAAGATTAGAGCAAAAAGAAATAAAATTAGAGCAAAGTCGGATGCAAGAGACACTGAAAGTGTGAACCTCGGGAAAAGCGAGCTCATTGTTAGTGACACGCTCACGAAGTTTTATCATGTTTGATCCGTTTTCCCCAAATTTGCTGCATTGGAATAGTTCTTTGAATTATTTCCCCTGAAAATATTTCCAAATTGTGTATTTCAAAGAAAGACAGCTTTTGAAGTGCCAATGAAAGGAAAACGCAAAGAAAATAGTGAAAGTGTTCCTGATAATAAAAATGAATATTTGTAGTTCGATTTGCTTTCGCAAAAGATTGATCAGACCACAGTGATCGCAAGCTCCCAGCGATCAGTAAATCCCGCAGTTGATTATTGCTGAAACAGATCGGGGAGTGTTGTTGAAAATAGAGGAGACCTTGTTGAATATTTTTGAAGAGGCTTTCCTTCTGAGGCTGTTCAGTTTTGAGGAGTGAAAATTCTGAGTGCCTTTTGGAAGAATCAAGTTTCCCACAATATTTTGACCAAATGTAGCGAAATTGTAAATGAAATCCATAAAAAGTTTCACTCGAGAAATTTGACTGTTGCAGCTTGGAATATTAAAATAAAAAAATACTGAAAGACAGGGGTCCAGGTTTATTTTGGACCACCCTAAATATGTCTTGTATTGAGGCTCAGTGAAAATGAGGAACAGGTCTTAGTTATCATGACTGCTTTTGACTGCCTTCCGCAGTTGCGAGGAGAGGACAATAAATCACCCTTAGCATTTTTGAAGAAACTTGCGACATGCCCATGGGCGGAGAGGGCCAATCGATAATTTACGCATTTGCTGATACCAGATCATAGCGTCTTTCTTTTTCGGAACTATGATACCTTCTATTGGTGACAAGCTGGTAAGTAAAAACGATAGGGCAATATTTTCAGATTCATCAGAAGCCGCCGACGCCTACTCGCAGGAATTCCTGTGCAGAAAGTCTGTCAGAAACTTCAAGGACACCTCTCTAAAGAAGAAATCGATTACATATGTTCTGACAGTTTGGAAACAAGAACGACAAAGTTCCTCGATATATTGTGCAAGAAGCCGAAGAAGTACCAAGAGTGGTACCTTGACCTATTGGTAGTCCTGCAGGATCTTGGTTATTCAACCATAGCCGAGGACCTTGAGAGTAAAACAGGTGAGACCTCACCCCGTCTGGAATCTTCGATATACAGGAGTCAAGAAATTAATAATCTGAAATTGCATGTTAATCTTAAATGCGTTGGACTTATATACTTTCGATTAAGAGGGTTACAGATTTAAATTAGGAGAAGTTAATGAATCATGAGCGTTTATAAACGCCAAGAGGTGGAAATGTTTGTCCCTTCTGGGGTTGCATGTATGACGGACTGAATGGGAATGGTCTTTCTATACAAAAATATATAAATTATTTTTCCAACTCCAGAGGAAAGTCAATATTTAAATAATCGTCTTTTTCTTAAGTAGTGAAATAGTAAAGTAGTGTAATAGGAAAAAAAATTTTGAAATGTCAGTACAACATTATCTCAAAGAGTTTCTTAGATGTTTATTGAACCATAAAATCCATGTCCATCTGGTCTTTCCAGATTTGAAAGTCCGCATCAGGAAAGTTTGGTTGAAGTTCACCAGTATTAGAAAACCGAAAGATATCATGACGAGGATGATGACCCACGGCATTCTCAACTGTGACGAAGTGAGGACTATCGATGACGACTATATATTCAATGAACAGAGAATGTCCAGTCTAGGTCATGTCCTGGAGAAGAAGAACGGAAGAAATTTGGCCCGCATATCCAGGTGTCTCCTTGAAGCTGGCTATCGATCAATCGCTGAGGATCTCCTGCACTCCTCCAAAGCAGAACTTGACGAGTACTCCAGTAGTTCAGGTTAGCTACCTCATTTTCCGAATTAGGAAAGGATAAACTGCTCCACCTCATCCTAAGTTCGCCGACTGTGGTATAGAAAAAAAAATACATCACATAAAGGACGACGCATGATAGTAAATGTCACAAGCAATTGAGTTATACCAGATGAGCAGTGGCGTATTTTGGCAGAAGAGTCAGGGGGGGCAAGGTAGCAGAGCGGGGGCGCCAGAAGCAAACATATTTCCAAAGTAAATATACGTCACAAATGAATTAATCGGGTGCTGTCGTATTGAATTCAGAGTTTCATTTTTCTGCACTTCATTGCACTGAAAGAAGATATCACGCTTTCAAAATCAACAGTGTAATCACTGTTGATCAAATCTCTCTCGATATTCAGAACGGCGAGACGCTCCTGTCCCATTGTTGTTCGAAGATAGTTCTTAATTCTCTTCAAGTGACTAAATGTCCTTTCTGCCTTCGCACTTGAAACTGGCTGGGTGAGAAAGATCCGGTATAGGGCTGCAACATTTGGAAAGGCTGTTGTCATCCCGTTCTCCATCATGAAATGTAGAATGTCGCGTGGATGTTGTACCAAACTATCATCCTTGAGCATTTCTCAGAGGGTATCGAAGAATATATGGAATTCCTGTAGAACATGCTCTGGATCAGGTTCGCACAAATCATTTTTGCACTGTCGAACCAAAGTCTAAATCAAGTCTTCAGCGTCTCCACCATAGAAAAACCTTTGTGACCTGAGACAGTCAAATTTGCTCACAATCTAGAAAAAGTCAGAGAATCTTGTGGTCATCTAGTGAATTAAGGTGTCTAGGATGAAGAAGTAACCTTTGATACGGAACCAGTCTTTTTGATCCTGGATAGGCTCATCCGTTGCAACTTCCCCTGACATTTTCTTCCGGCGGCCGCTTCTTCTGACCTTGAAATTTTGTTCTATCCCATAATCTTCTGCCATTTGCTTCGCTTCTGACAGGAATTTACTGTAGATAGCATCTGATCTAATTTCTTTGAGAGCTGTAATCGTAGCTTTTATGAAGCTGCAAGACATGATGAGGTCACTATCAGAACGCTGGCAGTTACTTGAAAGGGCGAAGAAGTTCTTCAGGATATCATGCCAAAACATCATGAACAAGAATTCAAGGCTCTCTAAATTTGCGAGCAAACCCACTGCCTCAGCCCTTACTATGCCCTTCTGTTTGCTCTCCTCTGTTATTTCCTCAAGGGCAGCGCAAACAGCAGCGAAGTTCACCTTTAGTGACTTCACAGCATCATGGCGGCATGCCCAGCGGGTCTCTGAAAGACGCTTTATCTACAGAATAACTTGAGAGAGCTTTTTCTGTTTTGCCTGGAAGACAGGAATATGTGGAAGACTTCCAGTGAGAAATGTGTACAGCTTCTCAATAGTTCCGAAAAACAACTGACAGCGGGGATTTATATCCACAGAACCCACGAGGACCAAATTTAGATTGCGAGCACAGCAATGGACATAAGTAGCAGATGGAGAGTGCTTTTTGATTCGAGCCTGGAGACCGGATACATGCCCAGCCATGTTTCTAGCGCCGTCGTATGCCTGCAGAAAATGTCAATCGGTTTTCTTCACATCATGACTACTTTGAAGATACAGTACTTCGTTCCCGACCCACTCCGGTGGGTCGCGAAATTTTTTATACGTCAGCGAGTGGGTCGCGATTCAGAGAGGCCTGGGAACCGCTGTCGTAGACTATATGAATTTGTTATGCCTATTTTATTGATACAATGTCAAGTGTATTTGCAATGGTTCTAATTGAATCAATGTACAATTTTGTATCATATGAGAGAACCCAACTTATTCTTTTATTAATACATTAGCTTGCTAAACACGTCATGGGAGAAAACTCAATATTATAAGAGAGGATGAAGAATACAAGTTCTCCGACGAAGGTAATGTGTAAGGACTGAATCGAATCGAAAGAGGAATCAGGAGAAAGACGATCACATCCGATGTCGATATCATGGACAGACGGCGCCAAGGCGCCCTCGGACTCGGAGGCTTAATAGTCGTTGTGTTCCTGGGAATTGGAAGCATCAAATGAACCCTTACGGAAAGATCCTATAGGATCCTTTAAGATTTTTGAAACATAAAAATCTCATAGAATTCCTTTAAGATTTTTATAGGATTCTTATAGGATTCCTATAGGATCCTATAAGAATCCTAAAGGATCCTAAAGGAACTCTCTCGGATTCCTATAAGAATCCCATTAGAATTTTATGTTTCGAAAATCTCATAGGATCCTATAGGATCTTTTCGTAAGGGAACCCACACTCACTGCTCGCTCTACTGAGATTTCCGTGAAAGAGGATTGAAGGAAGATGAAGCTGAAAAAGTTGTAATTTAAAATTCATGAACGAAATATATATTTTCTCATTGAAACTTTGTGAATCGCGTCTCACTTCTAACACACTTAAAGAAACTACTCCAAGGGACGTAGAATCCCACCCGAGCGATATCAAGGGAGAGAAATATTACCTCCAGGGGGGCGCCAAGTTCTGTCCCAGGGGCGCCAGGGGGCTTGGCTGCCCCTCCCTCTTAAAATACGCCACTGCAGATGAGTTTTGAAATAATAAGGTACATATAGTGTTTTTCAAATGAATGCGTACCCCCTGTAACATTGCGCATGGTAACTCAATGCAGCATCCAAGGAAATGGCAGAAGTCTAACAATCGTTTCCATTCCAGAGGATAGATGTCTCCCTACCGCTTCTTAGCGCCACATCGCATTAATCGTTCAGCCTCTTGGGAGCTGCCTTACAGCAAAGATGACGTCGCGTTGTCCGTATGAAAGGATAAGGGAGCCGTTAAGAGGCAGGATCGCTGCCAAGTTGGGCAGTCATGCACTCTAATGTTCCGAGTCCTGGATGTCATATACTCGACGTACTTCAAGTGTAAATTGGGTTGTGCATTTGAAGATAGCTATGGCTGTTGACGCCCGTGATTTGATTTTTTTCCTGTTTTGCAGAATCCCTACCAATTTCAAGGTACAATGGAATGCGTTACCTAAAGCCTAAGGCAGTGATTCCCAGACTTCTTTGAATCACGACCCAATTGCTGACGTACAAAAAATTTTGCGGAGCATCCTGAGCGGATGCGGATATAGTAATTTTTTTATGCACGGAAAATGTACGCGACCCACAGTTTGAGAACGGCTGGCCTAAAGCATTGTTCCATAGTTATTTCGGCTTCTGTATACTGTACTGTACTTCCTCGAGATGTTCTCCTTGAAACTGGATACACTTGCACCAACGCTTTACCCAACAGTCGAAAGCCTCTTGCAAGCCATTTTTCGATATGCCTCGTATGGTGCGAGTTTTGGAAAGTAGAGGGATTGTTGCAACACCTTTGCACCAATATCTTCGATCACAGTTTGCACAACAACGGCAGTATGCGGTCTGGCATTGTCATGATGCAAAAACCATTTTTCATTTCGAAGCTCAGGACCTTTTTCGCGAATTGCATGGCGGAGCTTTTTTCGGAGAGCTTCGACATATGCTTCCTCATTCAAAGTTGTACCACGTGGCATAAAGTGCGTGACGAGAATACCTTTGCAAAAAAAAGACATGAGTGCCATTTGTTTCGTGGCTGAGAGAACGACTCCAAACTTTTTGGGCTCCGCTGAATCTGAATGTTTCCACTCACTTGACTGCTGCTTGATTTCTGGATCATAATGGTAAATCCATGTCTCGTCACCGGTCACTATGCGACTGAGAAATCTTTCACCAACTTGTTCAAACCGTGTTAGCATGGCCCCACACTCAACACGTTTTTTTTTGTTCAGGTGTCAAATGGTATGGAATCCAGCGAGCACAGATTCTCTGGCCATTTTAAGATGTTCTGTCACAATTGCATGAGCGTTGCCGTTATGAGATGGACATTTTACTGCTTGGTTGACGAATTGTGATTAGCCGGTCTTCGTCCAATTGCCCGTGCAATTTGCTCTGCGGTGGTCGAAGTCCTCGGCTGACCAGGCCGTGAGTAGTCAGCCCAGATTCTCGTCCTTCCTTAAAACGTTTGTGCCGCTTGAAAATCGCAGCTTCCTTCAAACTCCGGTCACCGTTAATTTCTGTCATTGCTTTTACGGTATCTGCACCACTCAAACCTCGTCGAACACAATGGCGTATGACATATCGTTGTTCAGTCTTTAAATCGTCCATTACGAAACAAAAACGAAACGATCACGACTGACGGCACTCAAATTGACGCTTCTGGACAACTGGCGATAAGTCTCAATGTGTAACTGCCTGAATGTATTCTTAAACATGCACTTCGGTGCAACCTAGAGGGATTTAGCTGAAACCTGCGTGGGAGAACGTGACGTTATCTGTCTACGAATTAAATGATCAGCCCTCGTATATTAAACATTTGGCACAAAGAAGAATTAACATCAACTGAAATCTAGTATGTCATTGGAAATTGCCTTTGTCGAATTATGAGGAATTTCTGAGCTTTCGAAGTCCCCCAACAAGCCCTCTGACGTTATAAATTCAATTGGTATGAGGCTCGGTTTCAAAAAAATTGCTGAAACTCTCTCTGAACTCTGAAAAGCCTCTACCCAGGTGGCAATTTGTCCTCGTTATTCCAGGCTCAATTACAATTCATTTCTTCTAACAAAAAGCAACCTAAATGTAAGTATATTTCTGTGCCAAAAGTCAATCTGAAACTAGGCCTACATAAAAGCTGAGTTTAGCTATTATGTGGATGAGGATTTAAGAAAGTATGTCGCTAGTCACCGTGAATATGTACTTCGTTCTACATACATTTGAAGTATTTTCTTTTTCAGCCTGATTCCCAGTCATTAGTGTGAACATTATCTTGGAAATGTTCTTTCCATCAATGCCAGCAGCAGTGACCTAAGTACAGGCCACTAATAATATTGCAGTTTGAACGGTATGGGTGGGTGGGTTAAAGTGCATATGTAAATGTCTACGTCTTTAGTTCTGCATTATCTTTCATAGACTTCAAGGTATATGGAGAAAAAATTCTGCATGCCCTGGAAGAAGGAAAGGACAGTTTACTGGAGGTGAAGGGCGTGCTTGATAGTCTGGAGTCAGGTGAGGGAATGAACCAATTGAAGGACATGGTTGAGTGTTTGAAGAAATCCGAAGAAGAAAGGATGGACCAACTGAAGAGCATGGCTGATAGCTTTGAGAAATCTGGAGGAGAAATAATGGAACGATTGCAGTGTGTAACTGACGGTTTGAAGAAATCCGAAGGCGAAGGAGTGAAACGACTGACGAGCATGATTGATAGTTTGAAGAAATCCGAAGAAGAAAGGATGGAAAAAATGAAGAGGGTGATAGATATTTCGGAGAATTCGGAAGAAAGAAAGATGGGCCAGCGTATTTTCGTGAGTTAAGTTTCTGTTTTTCGTGTGTGCCATGAAATCGTCTACTTATGTGAATTGAAAAAAAAGAAATACCATCGGGAATTAAAATGAAACGTCCGGCCTCCCTAATTGCGCATACGTTCTTAACCTCTCAAACCTTACAGGCATCGGGGAAGCCGACAAGTGGCGCCAACATGAATCCCATCAAGCAAAATAAATTTCCCTTAGGCCCTTCCACAGGCCGATGAGCGAAGGCGAGAGAGATAAGACGTTCTCAGCGAAGCATGGTTGTGAACAGGAAAACTAAAATCTCTAACCTGCAAAACAACAAATTTCGTGGAAATTCACACCAGGATGTTGAATCAACATTGAATTCGTGTTGTTTCAATGTTATGTGCTACTAGGGCATGGATGCAATCACGAAGAAGCTGAATATATTCAAACCCTAGTAGCACATACCATTGAAACAACATTGATTCAACGTTAATTCAACATCCGGACGTAGAACCAACGTTGAATCAACGTTGATTCAATGTTATGTGCTACTAGGGAATATTACATTCTCGCTACAAATGGGAATGTAATAAAATTACAGTGAGGACCAAGACAGAGTTTGACACAGTTCCACTTGATGACTCGTAACTCCAGAATGAAGTATTCAGTTTAATTTAAATTTCAGCCAATCATACTCCCCAGTAGCACATAGCATTGAATCAACATGGGTTCAATGTTGATTCAACATCCGGATGTTGAATCAATGTTGTTTCAATGTTATCTGCTACCAGGGCTCCTTCTTCCAGGCTTTTGATTAATGCTAATCCCATGGTAACTGTCTCCCAATTGCTTGAGCTGCAGCTGTTCAAAGCAAAGCAGGTTATCTTCACAGTGTAGTCATTCACGTTTAAAAATACAGAAAATCGAAGTTATTAATACTTTGTGTTTTTCATATTGGCTTAAACACTGCTAGACCCTTCTAGGCATGCTTTAAACCGAGTCCACGCATGTTTGGACTGGAATGGCATCCCACTCGGTCTTGTCCCACGGCCACAACTCGTTGATGTTGGCTGGCTCCTTCGCGTACTCCACCAGCCTCCACTGCAAGTGTTGCTATAAATTTTAACTTGTATTGAAGTCTGGTGACTGTGCTGGTCATTCTAGGACTTCGAATCCGTGGTCCTGGTGCGATTAGCGAGCCAGCTGCGAGGTGTCTTTTGGACCATTGTCCTCCTGAAAGACCACCCCTTCCACTCCACGCTGGTAATACTTAATTGTTGGGAGCAATTCGTCCTCGAGAATACTTGTATACAGCTTAGCATCTATTCTTCCATGTATTTGACAGCCATATCTGACTCCTTTGGCCGTCATGCAGCCCCAAAACATCAGAGTGCCTCCACCATACCTGCGGGTCCCCCCTCCCATGCTGCTAGGGCCTCGCAGGACTGTTTCCAAATGTAAACACGCCCATCCGATCTCATAAGGTTGATTTTTGTCTCGTCTGACCTAATTGTACATTTCCAACCCTATATGGCTGCGGTGGGCGAATTTCAGCTCCTGTCGAGACCCTAAGAGGCATATGATGACATGGGGCTCAATTTTGCATGAGCACAACCCTTTCTTGGCCTAAGCAGATGATCTTCATGTATTGAATAATATGTTTTCACAGTATTTGTCATAGCATTTACCCACAATCCGTGTGAGTGGGTCAGAATCACCCTGTATGGAACACCCTGTATGTCAGAGATCTTAGTAGCTACTTTACATCCAGTTCCTCAACCAACCCTGTGCCTAATTTTCCTACAATTCTTCACGCACTTGGTTTGTACAGGAACCGTTTGAATATATGGGCTATGGAACCTAAAACGAGTTGGTAAAACTTGCTATGTAGAGGACCAATCTGGCTAATCCTGATGACGCAAAATTTCACTTGAACTCATTCAATTCTATAACATTCAAAGTCTAGCGGGGCAATATTTGGTCCCTCATGTACTATAGGAATAATGAACAGAAACAATAAAGAAACTCCAGAATCGTTCCTTCAGAACCATTTCATCCTTTTTCAGGACAAAACGGACGAAATTAGCACGAAGGTTGACAAGCTGCTGCTCATCAGGCCTGAAACAGAGGATGGTCTTCTTCCAGTAGTAAGTTTTGATCTCATATTTGACCTCACAGTTACATTCGCGTCATATGTACCAAAGCCAAGAGCCAAGAGCATAGGATGCTACAGTTTTCGCTTTCACTTCATGATACATAATGGTATCATGATGGTATCATGATACCATGATATGGTATCATGATATGTACATGATACAAACAATACGTGTCATCATGACCACAATACCAACACGTGATTTCGTACGCATCCAGCCCGCATTCCCAACTCTTTTTAAAAGCACTTGACTCTTGTAGGATGGCCAAGGAATAGACTAAATGTTCGAGTAGTGCTTGAAGATCAAGGAAACGAATACCTTAGCCCGATTTGAACTTCATTTGTTCCCTTTCGGGAGAAGGATTAAAACAATTTGTCCCAGGACGCCAAAAGAGATGGAATTTGGGGTCTTGTCTGCTAGTTATGATCCTCCTTTGAAATCTTAAAGCTTCAGATTTAGAAGAGTCACAGAATGATTTATTCGAAGACAAGGAGGCCAGATTATTTTCTAAAATATCTGATATGCAAGGTTCATGCTTTTCTGCACATTCATTTCTGGTGAATAAGTAAGACTACTGTAAAATAAAATCACCAGTGCTTCTAATACAATACCATTTCAAAGCAAAGTATCGAAAATCACCGTGATCGAGCAACCTGGAATTCGCTTCAAGTCGGGTGCATCACTTTCACACTCTCCAAAATTGTGACACATGTAGCAGCCATTCTCACTGATGAAATGTATGTAAATCCTTTGCCGAGGACGAATTCTTGGACAATATCAACACATATTGCAATTTGGGTTCTATGCAGCCTGCCGCTTCCAAAATGTCTGGCAAGTAATGCCATTTAGGCGATTTTTTTCCAAGCAACTACGAAACCCACTTGCGTTAGGCGTAGGCCTAACAAATGAATTGTCTTCGAGTCAGGGCTATGTCTACCTTTTTCCTTCAAAGGAAACCCAATCCTCCACTTACTGATCCAATTAGGCCTTTAAGGATTAATTCCTAGTCTGGGAGACATCTCGTCGAGAACGACCCAAGTACCAATTTTGATCCAAAATAAATCCATTGGACATACCCTCCTGGACACTTGGAATTCCAATGTATGTCCCCCTCGGACATCCAGTGGATGACTAAATGTCTCGTCCGAGGATAATCTCTGGACATGTCAATTGGATGGCCTATCGGATGTCCGTGTCTTAGGATCCATTGGAGATTTCCTTTGGGAAAGTTTTTGAATGACCATTGAGGGGTGCAGCGATAGTAACCCTCAGGCATCAATGGGGCAAAATTTCTTTGCTCGTGAATATTCATGGTGTGGGAAAAGAGCGTTTTCCGCATAATGACGATCTCACCCTCTCACTGTCCTTGGAAGAATTAGGAGAGAAATGTATGAAAAGAAGGTGAAATGTTATTGAGACGATGCTCTTAACTTCGATTGTTTCTCCCTTCGTCTTATTCCATGCAATTCGTCATTAAGGAACAGGCTTACTTCATAAGTGGAACCAAACTCTCGCCATGCAATGCGCCAGAATTGCCGGGAGTCTCCTTGAGCTATGTTACGTCTCTCTACAAATAAATTAATTAGAATTACTTCCTTCCTTAGGCTTGTACGTGGGAAATTATCAAGTACAGGATGAAAGCTTCTGCAGAAGAATTCGTTAGCATTTAAGGAATCAGGAGACAACAGCGGTTGGATGAGAGCGACCTCACTTATGTTATGGGAGCTTTGTATTTCTTGAATGAATTTCTAGATGTCGGGCAAGATGAAAGGCCTCAACAGGGTGGGGATTCCATTGGAGGACATTCAATGGAAGTCCAAAAGAAGTTGTCCTTGGAAGTTCCTTTGCTGGACGTCCCATGGATGTCTAAATAAGGACTCTTTCATCGTTTCGTTCATGAAGCCGAAATCTAAATGAAATCATGCACTGGTCCAATTATAATGTCACATATATTGATTGAAGTTACTGGGATGCGACTTGAGTAGAAAAAAAAGAACAAAATAAATCCCTTGATCGAATGCTCGCAATGCCATTCTATAAAACCTTCATTCAACGAAAAGGAACGAATTTTGTGTTTGATGCAGGGAAATTTTGCTCGAATAAAGCTCAGAATGCATGAGAAGATATCGATCCATGGCGATGGCATCCTATGTTCATCCTACGGACGACTGCCTCTGGACTTACACCCATCTCTGGACAACTGGATTGTCCATGGACGAGTTTTGCATCACCCGTGGCTACATGGGGAGTAACGCTAGGCCAATCGCACATTATTCAGTCTTTCATGGTCCTTTTAAGAGAACGTGTAATCTTAGACCGATTAGAGGTCTATTCCATGTTCCTTGAACCATTTCAAAGCGAGTGAGGAATTTTAGGCCAATCGAGAGTTCCTCGAGCCGTCTCGACGAGTTCAGAGGAGAAAATGCCTCTAGGAAGCGTTGAATACAACTTGGGCGCCATCCTGTTAATTTATGGATGTCCCAATGAGATATCTCCACATCCTATCAAATCGATCGGCCACTGCTTGCCACCATTTCAATCTCAGCTCATCTAATGAACTCGACGCAAAATTAACACATACATTAAAAAACAGAACATCCATACTCCGATGCTAAGGTCGAGGAGGTCACGAATCTGGCATAACTAAGGCACGATATCTGGCAATACTGGAGGACGGGACCAGAGCCATCACTCTAAACCTAAATTAACGACATCTACATTTTTTGGCGAAATGGTGCACTGGAAACAACAAAGGACTCTTTCTCACCTACAAGTCAAAATCTTTCGTTATGTTGGTCTCTTTCCTCCAAAAACTTCGATTCTATGTAGAGAGTCGAAGAAGTGTGCCAAATTTCGCTCCTGTTGATGCTCTCAGTAAAAATTCAAGACAGTTGAATTTTGTCGCCAGAAGGGGTCGAAGAAAGGTAATTCATATTGATTTGGCCTCAAAAGATAGACTTGCGGCTTCGACATGACAGGCCAAGGGGTAGCCTCCGTCACTCAAGTTCTTCACCTGAGATATGGTGAATGGAGGGATTTTCTTCTTAATCAGGATTGCTTTCTTTCGTTCAATCAGAAGAAGCAGGTCTCTCCCTAAGAGATCTCTCTCAGCCGACTGGAAAGTGTTGTCTGTCATCTGACAGCACTGAAGCATGTCATAAAACATGAAGCATGTCTTTAACACCCAAATGACTTGCCAGAGGCCAGATATACACATCTCTCTTTTGACTCTTAGCCCTTCACAGCCCCATCCATCAAATCTTCCCCACCAAGTGTGTCTTTTGTTGCTGAATAGACAATACCTAATACTTTTGGATCGGTGTATCCGGATTAGATTCCAAATCCAATTTGAAACGAAATTTTGAATTTGAATCAGAAACCAATTTCAAATTTCATTCCGAGGTCATACTTCCTTTTAATAACGCGTTTCCACGTTTCTGCTCCATGACTTTAAGTGAACAAGAAGCGGGTTTGCTAAGACACTGGATTGCTGATTTTCATTTAAAATCCGATTTCGTATCCTGGCCGTTAAATATCCAGTCATTTAAGGTCCAAGTGATTTGAATATGGAGTGGAGTAATCATAAATGCCAGCGCTGAATCTTAGCCCCCTCACCATCGACGACCTCTTGTTTGCAAAGCTGTTCTGCAAAGCCCAATCTCTCGTTCCACTCGTTTGCTTACCTGTATACTCATACAAATAGGAATGTCTTATTCTATTTAAAACTTCCATGACCTGTGGAAAGGAATTCATCGGATGATAACATACATAAACTTCGCCTAGTTTATCTCATCAAGTTTCTCAGATCAAAACAGAGAATCGTCAATATCTGCTCTATCTCTCTCTCTCCCTCTCTCTCTCCCCCTCTCCCTCTGGATTTATTTACGGCTTTCCTGAAAAATTTCCATGCTAGCGATATCCCTCCCAAAATCACAATTCCTCCACATACGCAGCGATTAGTGGTTCCCTCCCGTTTCGTACCTCATGCATCCATTTTTTTCTACTTAGATACTGGAGGAAATGCGAAATGTTGGCAAGGAAAAGGACCAGGAGGTGAGTTACCCTCATGCATCCGTCTCGCCTTCATGTGAAGAAAATTTCAACTCAAACAGCTGTAATCAAATATTTAAATCAGTCTCAAAAAATAACTTCATAGTTCTGTAGTAAATAAATGCAAAAGCAAATCGCATGCTAATCATAGACATAACAAAGTACCCCATGTTGCGAAAATGATTTGAAAACTTAGAATGAGGGAACATTGAAGGAAACTGTTCCTCAGATGAATTCTAATGGATTTTAATGGATCATTTAGTATTCACTTTCCAAATTGTGGCAACATTACCGAAGTCGAAACAAGAAGGCCCTGCAGCCTTAAGTATATACATATGGGAAGAGTGTTTCCTAAATGTTATATTATTCATGGAAATTCGAAATCGATGGTATTCCAATGTTAACGTATAAATTAAACGAACGCTGGAGCTTCGTGAATACATCTGAGTTGTGTGGAGTGAATGTCCGCTAAGAATCCATTCCTGTGTGCTATTTTGCTGGGGAACAAGATAAAGGCGCTGCAAGAACGGCTCCTGAACATGTCGAAGACTTTGACTGAAGAGGAAGGACTGAGAGCAAAGAGCGAGGACATAAGTAAAAGACTTGAGGAGCGACTTCAAAAGAGGGAAGCAGAGCTCAAAGACGCCAAGACTCAGGTTCCTTTTCTATCCCATTAAATTTCCCATTGATACTTTTTTGAGATGACAGGATGGCAAGGTATTGCAGGTTGAAGAGATGCAGATTCAGAGCGAGAACCAATCAAAGTTGAGGTCTGTCATTCAAGCTTAGTGCGGTAATGTTACGAACGTAAGGTTAAGCGCATGGGGATGCAGGTGATGTTCCTCATGCGCTTGTAGCAAATGAGTGAAAGAAAGAGAGCAACAGAAATACCTGAACAGAAATCCTCAAATTTATTCATCGAAAAGTAAAATTTTCTTACCAGAAAAGCAGTAGATGTAGAGAAGTGAAAGTTGGTGGTCATGTGACCTAACTCTCTACTTTTCATTCAATTTGAGTAGCAGCACCATAGGAAGCAACATGACAACAATGCAACAAAAGGCGAGGTGATTCTTTACGCAAAGCTGAATATACAGGTAGTAGCGCTTGTACAGCGGTTGGTTGAAGTGGTTTTACAGAAGAAGGAAGATTCCATCATAAAAAAGCATTCTGAATTGGTTGAAGAATTTATAATAAAAAATTGAATAGTGACAAATCAAAATGGAGCAAGCAAGCCACGCACACCAGCTGACGTAGTGGAAATATTCAGGTGGCAATGGCAAGAAGTCCAAAAAAATTTTTGAAGATGCTGCCACATTCATGAAAGCCCAGTCACTTCACGTGAATGAGTCAGTTGCGACGTGTCAGTAGTTTGTAAACAATTTAACGTCGTACTGGTTTCTTCAAATTGCCCGAACCAACGCAGAATCTTCTGTGATACTGGAGACTTCCTTGCTCCGTACAACCGCTTGAACTAATGGTGTACAAGCACAACAATGTTCAGGTTAGGTTCAGTGCAAAATTACCCACTCCGCCTTCTTTGTTGCCATCTTGCTTTACTAAGGTGATGCCACCCATATCGAACGAAAAGTAGGAGTACCAACTGACTACCAAAATTCACTTCTCTACAAATTTACTTTTCTGGAAATATAATTTTACTTTTCGATGAGGAATTTTGAGACACCCTGTAGTATGCGAGCTGTCAATTTTTCTCAAATAGTGCGTAATTTCATTTGTCTGTGTATGTATTTTTCTCTTCATTTGTTGGTAATCTGAGGCTGGGATACTAGTAGGCTTAAATTAGAAAGTGACTGTTAACCACAAGTTTTTTTGCACCCTAAATCTGACCGAAAGATGCCAAGCTTGTCCGTTTCCACCTCCTCCTTCAATTTTTTGAGGGTCACATCTTTCCTTCTCAAAACAATGGACACCAACACTCCTTTTTTTCCCAGCGGCCAAGATCCCCTCTCACAATTCCCCCTGTCTTTTATCGCCCTGTTGTAAGCGGGACGCGGACGCTCTTCCCTGATCTCTGAATACGTCTTCACGAATCAAATATCTTCTTCACGATTCTGAATCGATCCTCAAAGCAGATTATCTTCGCCATGAATGAATTCGGCAGGGAATACTCTGCAAAACGGGAAAAAGAACCACAGTAAGGAACGCTTCTCTGGATACGGGTGTCTGAAGGATTGCGAGGATGCTACCGTGAAAAGCGACGGGAGCGACATTTCACCTAAGAATTGAACTCCTATTATCTGCGTGGATTCGCTACACCACCCCCAACATGCACCGTTGTCGAAATCAAGTGAAAAAATGTCAAACTCAAGGGAAAACACGGTAAAAGGCTTGTATTTATGCGTCGTATAAGTATGGTCTGCTCGATTTCAAATTCGAACAGTCCAGCTTGATCAACATCATTGACTTACTTCAACCTTCTCTGGAAAATCAAAACAATCGAGGTAGCCCGCTTCCTGACTTGATCCAAGTATGGGTCATTCCATGTCAAAACAATAAGAAATTCTTGATTTGTCATACCTACAGGTATACCCAAAGATATTAATAGACATACCTGTATACTTATTTATTGTTATCGCAGACGTAATATAGCAAACTATCACCTGACTCCTTTCATGATATAAGGTCATCCCATAAGTAATGTCGCAATGTTGCATAAGTAAAGTAAAATTAAAATACACCTGCATCGCATCAAGTTTCAATCAAGTATATATTCCCCTTCGTTCTCTATGACTCTGCCACCTTTCTACAAGTATTTCAATTCCATGTTTATAAAATTCCTTTGGCTTAGAAGCAAAAAATGCGGACAGGTCACTTTTGAGAGCCTCCAAACTTTCAAATTCTTTTCTGTTGAGATAGTTTTGTAGACTTCTGAATAGGTGGTAATCGGAGGGTGCAATGTCTGGTGAATACGGCGGATGTGGAATTTTTTCCCAACCCAGCTCTTCGATTTTGGCATACGTGATCCGAGCGGTATGAGGACGCGTGTTGTCCTGATGAAACAAAACACCCTTGCGATTGTCCAATGAAGGACGTTTTTCCTGCAATGCAGCGCTTGTACGCTTTAAATGAGCATTTAGTTCCTAATCAATTTGGATCGCTCTAGTGATGACAGTTACTGCCTCTTTCAACTCATCGTCCACGTCCTTGGGAAGGGGGGGAGGGGAGTATTAATAATATCTTTGGAACTGGGCCAGGTGGCACTACGAAAGTCCAGGCGATGGTTAAAATATGCGGACGGAAACTGGTGAGAGAAAATACTAGTTACAAGATGGACACATGGTCGCCCCACATGTCCTCTCCTACTGAGAAATCTTGAAAAAAGGGAGAAACTGTGCAGCTGCTACTGAATGATTTGCAGCCCAGTGTCCCGCTCGCCAAACCCACGCGCGGCATAAAAATACGGGTTCGGGAGCGGCGACGACGACGTGAACGGCGACAGCGACAGGCACGGCGGTTAATGTGGGTGCGATTGCAGGAAAGGGAACTGCGACCAAGAGCGAAAGTGTCGATGGCACGGCCGAAACGACTGCGACCTGAGACGCGGGGGCAATGCCCCACGCGAGGCGAGCGGGAGCGAAGCAAAGACGAGTTTCTTGGCTGTCCTGGAGGGGGGGGGGGGGGGAGGATACGGGGAATTAACCCTCCTTTAGTCCTGTCGTGGTCGAAGGAGCCCCACGCGAAATTGAAAACGACAACGACCGATGAGTGGGAGGACTAACGGAATGTTAAGTCTGGGCGTGATATGGCTCCAAGGTTTATTTGCTCGCTTATATCCGCCTGGCTTGCTCTCTCATCTAGAAAAGTGACAGGGCAATAGCCACCCCTCCCCCCCCCC